CCCTCACACGGCCTGCTTGGCATGCCCTTCGCAGTGGGAAAAACTCTTATTAAAGATCATTTCCAGCGGGATCATGTCAGGCGTTGGGAGAAAGTTGCGACCTGCAGACAAGCGAAACTGCTTATGAGAGGGCAACTAAGAGTTAGGACCAGAAAGCTTCTGGAGTTGCGCAGAGGGGATCTGAGGGTAGCAGTAGTGCTCCTTACGGGTCATACAGCTCTCAGAGCTAATCTGTTCAAGATGAAACTTGCAGAACAAGAAGACTGCAGACTGTGCGGAGGCGATAAGGAGGGCGTCATCCACATTTTATGTGAATGCCCCCTATTAGCACTCCGTCGCTATAAAATCTGGGGCCAGGCTTTCCTGAAACCAGAGGACTTACAACAAGCGGCTGTCACCAGCCTTATTAGCCTAGTGAGAAACACAGGGCTGGGGCTGTGTGACTGACCGAAACTAAGGCGGAAGTTACAAAAGATCGTATGATTTAGGTGACTCTGGGCGCTTTAAGTGACCAGCCGCACTTTTTTATTCTATTCTTCTATTCTATTCTAGAATGATATGAAACGAGTTTCAAAAACAGTTTGTCTATATTCTTTTGTTAGTATAGGATTCAATATCTTTTCACACAAGCTTATTCGACGTTTAAAACGATCACGATCTCGAGCCATCTCTTCCCATGGAACTCTACGAGCAGATCGGTATGCATAATTCCAATGCAAAAGCCAATGGACTTGTGATTCTAGTTGAAAACTAACTTTCTTGCTCTTCTCTTCTTGTTTACTCATCTGTACAGCAATACTCTCCATTTCAAATCAAATCAGCCTTCTCATCACCACGAGAACAGAAGAAAACCTCATGCTCAAACCTGAGAAGCTCAATCATGTCTCGCAAATTTTGGAAATGTGTTTTTATCATCCCCAAGGTCTGAGATAACTTCTCACAAAGATAGCATTTTGATATCTTCTCGCGTCTGAATTTGGAACACAGATCTCTGAAACTTTTACGTATTCGGCCGATGAATCCATTCAACGGTGGAAGTTCAAGTGGTGCGTGAATCAATAATTTCTCGATAACTTCATTCTCATTGAGGCAGTATGGTGGAACTGAGTGCAACCATTGCATTTCATTGATTGTCACTGCTTCTGATTCATCATCCACGTTTGTGATCTTGTCCCTCAGCTCCTCACAGAACTTCTTCAATTTCCCCAAACCATCGATACTCTGGATGATGTGCGATAATTCTTCATATCGAGTAGTACAATGAGAACAGTTGGTTTTCTTCTCGGGATGTCGCTCAGCTTTCAATACTTCACAATTATCCCATAAACAGTGCAAGTCAGTCACCAGGTATCTTGCGAATGTATGACAATCCTTATCGAAATGTTCAAGGATAATCTCCTCATCAGCGCTGAATACTTCACCATTCTTCTTAAGGAAATGATTGATATAACACATTATAGCAATCCTTTTATCACTATATAACGCGAGGTTCAGTCGATAAACTTACGACTCGGATTGGATGTGGATTGTGTGGAGTGTGTGAGTTATATAGGGATCCCCCCACCCTGAATGGTCACTAATGATTCACCATGGAACATTCGAGAACCTAGGAGAATATTCGAGAACGATTGAGAAAAAGATGGCGCGATATCTTCTGAACATGACTTCATAATTCATGAGAGTATCATATTTCACACAAGTTTCAACAGGAATTATAGCATACCCCCACCACGCGCGAATCGATGAGTCATCAATATAGCCAACGGCTCGAGTGACTCACCGATGACATCATTCTCGAGAATATTTGGTGACCGTGCTGCCACCTGCTGTAGGATTAATGAAATACCCTCCACCACCTAATCAAACAGTGACTCATTGATCTGAATGAATCATCGATGACGTCACTGCTTTTTCACGAATCGATGACGTCATCCATCGCGAACGTTCCGCGACCGTGGCGCCACCTGGTGGTTGTAAGTAGTTGTGATCCAGAACCAGCCTAGCCTACCTACTCATGTGCACTCTCTCCCGAGGAGAGAAGTGCATTTATTCCCAGTGTGCCCAGTGATAACCTCCGGGAAAAGTGCACCGGCGTTCACGAGAGTTGACACCGAGATGCATTCCGAACCACCAAAACTCCTCCGGG